CCGTGCGGCTCACAAGCACAACGTCATCCAAATGATTCCCACCCTCGCCTCTTGTTCGTTTGACGAGATTGTGGATGCGAAGCAAGGAGATCAGGTACAATGGCTGCAACTCTACGTGAACAAGGACCGCAACATCACCAAGCGTATTGTTCAGCACGCCGAGGCACGCGGCTGCAAGTGTCTTTTCATCACTGTCGATGCGCCGCAGCTCGGCCGTCGCGAGAAGGACATGCGGTCCAAGTTCTCCGACGTTGGTGCCAGTGTCCAAGCCAGTGGCGGGGACGATGTGGACCGCTCTCAGGGAGCCGCTCGAGCTATCTCATCCTTTATCGATCCTTCTCTTTCCTGGAAGGATATCCCCTGGTTCAAGTCCATTACCAAGATGCCCATCATCCTCAAGGGGGTCCAATGTGTGGAGGACGTCCTGCGCGCAGTCGAGGCGGGCGTAGAGGGTGTCGTCCTCTCCAACCACGGCGGTCGCCAGCTGGAGTTCGCCCGGTCGGCCATCGAAGTCCTGGCCGAGGTCATGCCTGCCCTCCGCGAGCGCGGCTGGGAGAACAAGATCGAGGTCTACATCGATGGTGGTGTCCGTCGTGCCACCGATATTCTCAAAGCTCTCTGCCTCGGCGCCAAGGGCGTCGGTATCGGACGTCCTTTCCTGTTTGCCATGTCCGCGTACGGCCAGGCCGGCGTGGAGCGTGCCATGCAGCTCCTCAAGGACGAAATGGAGATGAACATGCGCCTGATCGGCGCCAGCAAGATTGAGGAGCTAAACCCTAGCCTCATCGACGTCCGCGGTCTGACCGGCGGCCACCATGCTCCGGTGCCGTCTGACACATTGACCGTTGGTGCCTACGATCCGCTCCAGGCTCCGCGTTTCAGCGAGAAATCTAAGCTGTAGTCTCGAGACGCCTATCGCTCATCTTATACCCATTTAGTTAGAACGTGATTCGTCATGTTTCATGTCTGCCTGGAAATGTACATTTATAAAGTGGACGTGTACACTGTTTGGTTGTCAAATAAACGTGATATCAACGAATGCGCAGCTTGCATACTCATTTCGCCCCTTCTATACAGCTAAGAATACTTCGCTACAGCAGAACCGGAAGGATATATACAAGCAGGTAACGATATAGAAGGCCCTGCAGCAAGCATCCAGTCATTGGAGCGACCAACCTATTTACAGACTCCACCCAAGGCCACAAAACCCTACAACACCACAACCTGCGGTTTATTCCCCAACCGCCCCGTATTCCTATACATACAAGCCGCATTCACCATCCACCCACAGCCCCGATTCTCACCCCCCCAGACCTTCGCCCAGACAACCCCGAGCACACCATACGCGATGACGCGCGCCGCATCCACCCAGCCCTGAACATCAAACAAGTCCCGCAGGAACCCAAGCAGGGACATCAGACGACCGTATAAAGCACGCGGCCGCCGCGTCGCACACAACCGCTCCCACGCCCTCTGCGCCTCGTCCCAGTAGACCGGCTCGCTACCGTATGCTTCATGGACGTGCCCGAAGACATGCAGCGCGGGCCGGACGCGCCACGTCTCGGCGAGCAGGAACGGACAGCCTGTTGAGTAGACGGGGGATAAGTCCAGGTGAGCCTGTGGCGGGGTGTGGGTGATCAGGACGTCAGTTTCCGGGGGGATGGTCCCGGACCAGGCGTCGTGGTGTGCGGGGTATGTGAAGGCGTGTTCGGAGGTGAAGGGGACGATGGCGGGGATTTGGGGGGCGCCGTAGATGGTGAGGGAGCGCGGGCGGGGTGCGGAGTGGGCTGGAGACGGCGGAGGGAAGGAGAGGGTGATGGAGGAGTGTTGGAGGTAGTGGATGTCGCCCCAGTTGATGCGGTGGAGGCCGTCTGGGTCGTCGTCGATGGAGCGGATGGAGGCGGTGGAGGAGGAGATGGCTGCGAAGGACGAGGAGGAAGCGTCGCGGTCTTCGTCTCGTCTGGAGCGTACATCGAAGTAGCTGTCGTGGTTGCCGCAGATGACCACTTTGTGGGGGTGAGGCAGCTTCTGGAGCCAGTCGACTGTGGCTTGGATCTCGCGGATGCTTCCGTCATTGCAGAGGTCGCCTGCGTGGATGAGCAGATCGCCATCCGGGACCTCGTCCCATTCTAGTGTGTGGGTGTCGGAGATGCAGACGACGCGGATCGGGTGGGCATCGGGCGAGGGCAGGCGTGGAGGGCCGCGCAGTCGGAGGAGGAGATGATGGAGGGGATAGAGCAGCGCAGCTAGAGGCGAGGAGAAGAAATAGTCCGGTAACGGTCGGCGATCAAATGGAGAAGACATGCTTGTGAAGCCCTTGAAGGACCCCAGGCGGTGCTGTGGATGCTGCTAGGTGGATGAATGTGGTTACGAGAAAGCTAGAGAGATCATCGATCAAGGTACCAGATGTAGGTGTGGAGAAGGTGACGTTGCCGCTGTCAGACAGAGTCAAGACTGTCAAGCCAAGAGTCAAGAGTTAACATGACAGAGGGCGACTTCAGCAAAATTCATCGAGAATATCTGTCCACCCGGACTTCTCATCCTTGGATACGATTTGAGCTGATACTATATTCTGTGTATCACCCCCCAAGTCTTAGAGTTTGAGCTGACATGCTCATTGCCTTCCCAATTTGGGTGCCTGAGGCCTCCGGTGGAATTGGTCTGAAGCAATTTACGTCAACACTGCAGCACATCCACTGTAATTCATCGAGGACTTTCACCATGAAATCAAGAAAAGAAAATTAGTCTTTCTTAGCTTCATTGTATTTGTGCCTTGATTGTAAGCTACTCTACCTTTTGCTTCCACAGACTAGTATACCTCAGGTCTACGTTGATACCAGAGACGTGATCTTCTTCCCTTGGCGATATATTGAAAAATATAACTGTCAAGTGAAGTCTCTGTATCTATTGACTCTCTTTTGCGCATTAGGTGGTCGAAAGAACTGAAGTGCTGCGCAGAAGTCGTTTGACTTCACATTTGCAAAATCAGCAGTCCCCAGTCAATATATGCAGGGCATACTAAACCATTCTACAGGGAATCGAGCAATTGAGAAGCTGGAAGGGCATGAACGACAGACGATCCTATTAAGGCGAACCAGCTCGCGAAAGGCGGGTGCATGTTCATGGATATGCATATGTACGCTCATGTACTAAGTAGTAGTAGTAGTAGTAGTAGTAGTAGTATTGATTAACGTCCTGTGACGGAGCGCGGGTCAGCGCTCCTGACCTCCCAAGGGGTATGAGGGCGTGCTAAGCTATGGAATTATGTACATGACGACCTTAGAAAGCAATTCAAGCAGATGCATAGGCAGTTAAGCCAGTTGATTGTCCCCTGCCCCGACATGTAGGCTGGTAACAAGGTAGATTTGAGAGGGTGTGCGCCCTTCGTGTGTCGATGTGGTAAATTGTGCCGGCCCACAGGAAAGGCTGACCAACTGAACCTGAAAGGTTGCCTCGGGAGCGCCACATGCCGCTACCGGCAAAAAAAAATCGACAAGGGCAGGGTTCGAACCTGCGCCTCCGAAGAGAACAGATGTATCGACAATTCGCTGAGGCGAAGTTAGTATATAAAGGTATGGGTAGAAGTTGAGAGCAGGCACTACTAACAGTCTGTCGCCTTGGACCACTCGGCCACCTTGCCAGTTGCTGATGAATCATGTGCTAAGTCCTCGATTGAAATAAGCATTTGAGCAAGGACTTGATAGCATTGTTACACAGGCGGGGGACAGTCCATGAAGCTTTACCTCGCTCGAATATTGTCATTACATCATTTTCCGACTTCAGCTGAATGGATTGATTCATGTTGACGACCGCCGGTGGATCAGACATAACAGAAGTGCATCAATGGTCGCGTTAAGAGGTTCATCAGGCGATATGTTGAAGGAATGGTCTAGGCCCAATCCGTCGATGCTATCCTTTTATATATTTTCTTACATGGACCACCTTACTTTTCACAATTGATGAGGAATCAATTAGCCAACGAATCAGAATGACATTGTTGAACCCAGTTGTGTAAGCCATATCAGGTACTTTACTTGATGGGAACGACCATGATGGATCCGGGGAAACACCGTGCATACTCCAGTGGATATCAGCCCCTGGCCCAGTGTCTGTCGACCAGATGAATATATGGAAAGGATGAATCTGTTCTATCGTCATCATTGAGACGTTCCCCTCATCCGCCATGTTCCTATTCGAGTCCCCTTCGTCCTTCTAGGTACCTCGTAGAAGCCTGTAGATAGTCCTAATCATCAATGCACGACTCGAGTTTATCTTCCAAGCGATGATTGATCCCGCTCTGGTCAGGCCGGACCTATAAGGGTACAAAACTAGCATCGTTCGAGTCCCAGTCACGATTTGCCACATCCGTTTAGCTTATTATTATTGCTGGCTTGTCAACATCGCCCGAAAAGAAGTCGGCTACTGCTTGCGGACATTCCTGTTGTCTCCATCTCCATCTACCATACCACCAGATTGTTGCAATTCTACTTTCTCCTTTTCTTTGAAATTCGTTTCTGCTGTTTAGCTCGTTGCAATCCGTTGAGTATTTGCATCGACAAGGCTAGGAGTCGATCGGATCTTAGATCGTTGAACGTTACTATTACCATTATTGCCCCGGGCCCCCCTCTATATATGTGTTCGGCCTTGATCGTTTGCGTCATATACGCACATCCTCTTCTACCTTGAATATTCCGTTTATTTTCGATATCTCGTCCGATTCACGATTTACTCTTCCCCTTCTCCCCTTGTCTAAGCATCTATATTTTCCCTATACTGCTCCCTCATCCCGCCAGTCTCCTCCGTCATATTGGGTTGCGGTCGCGGGCGCTGAACCAACCCCTCATAGAACCGCACAATCCGCCCCTCCGCCGCCAGACACAGCGAACTTGGCTGGACTCTCAGCTTCGCCTTCTCCAGCCCAACACCTTGTGTCCCTCCTTCTCCAGATTCTCTCGATTTGAACCCCCCGTCAACCCGCATCGATCCTCCGATATCCAACGATGGACGGAGTAGATATAACCAAGGCGGTCATCAATAAGGGAAAACAAATGGCAAGCGTCGCTGCGAATGCTGCAAATGGCAATGGCGGTAAGAAGAGAAGAAAAGGAACCGATCTGAAGCCGATCGTTACCAACGACGCCGCCTCTCCTACCATCGATTCATCTGCCACCACTACTGAGGGGTATGCTTCGCTCTTGCTTTTCTCCAGCATTATCTCTCCGGTTTTCTTTTTATGACACGAACCTTTATTTCTGTGCCCTCTTTTCTCTGAGCTCTTACATCCATTCTCTGTACCATAGCGCTATTTGATCTTTTTTTCCTAACCAAAATGAGTGGCAGTGTCCCCGTCAAGTCCGCATATGATGTTCCGCCGTCGCGGTCGGCCTCTTCATCGTCCGGAGAAGAACTCGAAACCACTGCCGAAGAGGAAGACTCGGAGGACTACTGCAAGGGTGGTTATCACCCGGTCACCGTGGGCGAAACATACAACAATGGACGGTACGTCGTCGTGCGCAAATTGGGTTGGGGTCATTTTTCCACCGTCTGGCTGTCCCGCGATACCACCACCGGAAAACACGTTGCGCTCAAAGTTGTTCGCTCCGCCGCGCATTACACCGAAACCGCTATCGATGAGATTAAGCTGTTGAATAAGATCGTTCAAGCGAAACCTTCTCACCCCGGCCGGAAACATGTTGTCAGTCTGCTCGATTCATTTGAACACAAAGGTCCAAACGGTGTCCATGTATGCATGGTATTTGAGGTGCTGGGGGAAAATTTGCTTGGCCTGATCAAGCGCTGGAACCATCGGGGTATTCCCATGCCGCTGGTGAAGCAAATTACGAAACAGGTGTTGCTGGGATTAGATTACCTGCACCGCGAATGCGGCATCATCCACACAGACTTGAAGCCGGAGAACGTTCTGATTGAGATTGGCGATGTGGAACAGATTGTGCAGACATATGTCAAGGAGGAAGCGAAGAAGGAGAATAAAGAGGATAACCGCAACGGTCGGCGACGGAGGAGGACCCTCATCACTGGGAGTCAGCCACTGCCCAGCCCACTCAACACAAGTTTCGGTCATCATGATTTCAAGCAAAGCTCTTCCAACTCACACAGCAGTCTCAGCCAGGTTATTGAATCATCCAGTACGTTTTGAACAGGTTGTTCCGTGGCACAAGCTATGTCCGCTGACAATCTGCAGACACATCTACACAAGAAGGCGCGTCGATGAAGGAGTTATTAGGTATAAGGGAGGACGAAAAGCAGAAAGAGAGGGAGAAGACTACGTATGTTGGAAACTTATTCCGGTCCATATGTGGAAGGTCGGATGCACTGACATGGGGTAGTGATCTGCTGGAAAGAGAGGTTTCGGGGATCTCGCTCGACAAGCCATCCTCTAAAGAAGAAAGTGAGGATCCTCTGTGTGACATCATCTCAGTGAAGATTGCCGACCTTGGGAATGCGTGCTGGGTCGGTCACCATTTCACCAACGATATTCAAACGCGACAGTACCGCTCGCCAGAGGTCATCTTGGGGTCGAAGTGGGGTGCGAGCACGGATGTTTGGAGTATGGCTTGCATGGTCAGTTTGGAAATTACATACTTTTTCATCCTAACCGAGTGATCAACTAACAACTCCGTTAGGTATTCGAGCTCATTACAGGCGACTACCTTTTCGACCCCCAGTCGGGAACAAAGTACGGCAAAGACGACGATCACATTGCACAAATCATCGAGTTACTCGGTCCTTTCCCCAAATCACTGTGTCTCTCCGGAAAGTGGTCGCAAGAAATTTTCAACCGCAAAGGAGAACTCCGGAACATCCACCGGTTACGCCACTGGGCTTTGCCCGACGTCCTACGAGAGAAGTATCATTTCTCGGTTGAAGAGAGTATGCGCATCAGCGAGTTCCTGTTACCGATGCTGGAATTGCCCCCCGAGAAACGTGCCAATGCCGGTGGTATGGCTGCTCATGAATGGCTGAGCGACACTCCCGGGATGAAGGGTGTTGACCTAGGTATACTGCCTGGTAGTAAGGGCGAAGGGATCGATGGATGGGCCTCGGAAGTCAAGAAGCGATGAGTCAGGCAAAGCCAAAAGCATATCAGACATGAGTCAGTGACGATCTCTTACTTATTTATTCTTTTCCCTCTTCTGTGTGGATCCTCTTCGATTACCTTTTGGTTCTGTTTTGGCAGTGGACGGGGTGTTATGATTTATTTCCCTTGTTGCATGATGCCCATATGCCTTTCTTAGCAAGTGTGGGACTCTTTCATCCTCACTGCCCGTTCTTTACAATCATAGAGCCTGACCACCCTTGTTGTCTTATACTTCCAACCTGCTCGGAGTTGGTCTCGCGCGGCCACTTCCCGGCTCCCTTCCTCATTAGATGCAATGCCCGAAAGGTTACGACTCTCTCGTTCTTTGGCACGTTAACTTTCCTACCGATTCTATGACACGTTCGGTCGGGCTATATGGAGTTTGTGTTTGTCAACGCCAGCTGCGGAGTACGATTGTGGTACGGAGGTATCAAGTTTATGGGTTGATACTGAGCAGACTTCTTTGCGAAGGGTCTGTGGATACAATTGAATGAGATGAGATACACGTCTAGACCTCTAGACCAACCAAGTGAAACTCAAACAGTCGAGACCGTAGAACGAACACATTCTCCTTTTATTCAGCTTCGTCTTCATCTTCACTATCCAAGGGTTCCTCCCCAGGCAAATGCTCGGGAAACCAGCCATACCGCGCGAAATCTACGTAGAAATCACCCATGCTGTCCACATCGACCTCGACACCTTCCTGGCGCAGCGCCTCGGCCTGCCGCTCAGCACTCCCGGGCTCCCTGCTGAAATCAGCACCGTGGAATTCAGACAAGCACCTCATCAACATACCGATGAGAAATCATCCCTTTGGAATTAATCACCCGCTGCCAGGGCACATTGCCCGAGTGGAAGTGGTGCGAGGTATCCGTGGGGAGATGTTTGAGACAGATGCCGACCTGACGGGGTCGTCTAGCTGTTACAGCGATTAGCTGATTCAAACCTACGGTATGGCAGATGGAAAAGGAGAAAGGGGAATGTCAAGGGAGATCTGCATACGTTGGCCGAGTAGAAGGGCGATATGCCCGTAGGAGGTCACTTTGCCGTAGGGGATGGATTGCACGGCTTCGTAAACGGCGTTGAACCACCATTCTGCCTCGTCGGAGCGGGGCATCTCAATGAGTTACCTCTTCAAATTTCCAGAGACGATTCTAAGCCATTATCTACTTCATCATCACAATCATTTCTATTGACTAATCTTGCCTGCTGTATGACGCAGGGAATGAGGATGTACCCGATACGGATACGAGCACCGGCAAAACTGAAACTCCGACTATCAATCCGATAGCAAGATCGCGCAGCAAAAAGCCCAAGCCCAAGCTCAAGCTCAAGCCAAACCTCCAACAATCCGAACCCTCCAGACCCCAACACAATGCCCTCCTCCTCACTAGCAGAATATCTCGCCAAAAACTACCTAACAGCCGATCCATCCACCGAGCGCCCGAAAAAGAAACGCAAGAAGACCAAAGCCCTCGACACCGCCGGGGACGGCCTCATCATCGCCGACGACGACCCGCCCGATCTACGGACCTCGGCGACGAATTTCGGCAACGAGGATGACGAGGGGCCAAGTCTCGTCACCTCCGCCCGGAGCGCGGAGTTCCGCCGCACGAAGCAATCGAATTGGAAGACGCTGGGTGGTCCGGCGAACGCGAACGCGAACGATGAGCGGGACGCCGCAGACGCGATTCTAGCCTCCGCCGCGGCGGAGAGCGCAGCTCGTCGTGGCGAAGGAGGCGAAGGCGACGACGAGGCGCCTGCTGTCGTGGAGGACGCTGATGACGAAGCAGGGCTGCGGATGGAGTCCGGTGCTCGGGCGGGACTCCAGACGGCGGAGCAGACGGCGGCGATGGTGGCTGCACAAGAACGACGGAAGAAGGCCGAGGCGGCGCGGCATAGAGAGCGGCCGGCGGAGGCGCAGGAGACGATCTACCGAGATGCGTCGGGGCGGATCATCAACGTTGCGATGAAGCGGGCGGAGGCGCGGCGGGCGGAGCAGGAGAAGCGCGAGAAGGAGGAGGCGGCGAAGGAGGCGCTGATGGGCGATGTGCAGCGGGCGGAGCGGGAGGCGCGCAGGCAGCAGATACAGGAGGCGCGGGCGATGCCGCTTGCGCGGACGATCGAGGACGATACGCTGAATGAGGAGCTGAAGGCGCAGCAGCGGTGGAATGATCCTGCGGCTGGGTTTTTGACGAAGACGAAGGGGCCCGGCGCGAGTGTGACGGGGAAGCCGCTGTATAAGGGGGCTTTTCAGCCGAATCGGTATGGGATCCGTCCGGGACATCGGTGGGATGGGGTGGATCGGGGGAATGGGTTCGAGAAGGAATGGTTTACAGCGAGGAATAAGAAGGGCAGACTGGAAGCGTTGGATTACCAGTGGCAGATGGATGAGTGAAATTGCGTTGGAGAGCATGGTCATCTCATACGGATTCGCTGTGAAATATGGTGCTGGACACCTTGATGATATTACGGTTGGCTGTCATTTCCACATAATGAATACAATTTCGAGAGTGACATCTAGAAGACTGAAACGCAAACTTCATGCCTTCGGACTGCCTTAACTGTTTACATCCGTCCAGAAGCCCATGTCTGCGTGTGGCAGCGCTCAACAAGTCGCCAGGATAACATAACCAGGCTTCGTAGAATCGATAGGCGAGAGCCAAATAACCCATCATCTAGCTTTGCGGTATTTAGAACCGTAAGACACCCGGTGATCTCTCTCCGGTTGAGTTCAAGTTGAATCTTCAGAATGTAATACAGGCAAAACACTTGTCCCGCGGTTAACTTATCCCGCCTCTTGCTCTATTTCAGCTAAATCGCATGTCGTATAGTGAGATTTAACTGATACTCTTTATATTCGAAACTTCGAGTATGCGTAGCTTGAAACTACTGATTGCTGGGCTAATCTGGCTAGATGGCAAGATATATATCCCCATCCGTCACTCAGACTCAACACTCATTAGGTATCATCAAAACATAGGACGTATCCAGCTACAAGTAGTCTACAACCAGCCACTCTCAACTCAAATCACATGTTCATCTGAGCTCAAGGTGACGAGAAACCAAACCAGAACGTTCTATGAGGTTTTCGTAACCGAAAGCAAAATTCATGCATCGCATACCACCACCATGATGACAGCCGAGCACCTGACCAAAACCAGAACCAGAAGCAAGTCATCCGGAGGCAGCAGCAGTATGCAGTCATACGTTGCGCGGGGTGATAGTATCCATGCGTCAAGGCAGATGATAAGCTCCCAGATCCCCCGATGCTCCCTATCAGCGGCGTCATTGCTCGCACATGAGATGGCTCAGGGTGAGGACTGGTTGGACTGCACCTTACATGCTTTCTATTTTCTACTTGTTACTCCATTCCATAACTAGTAAGGTAGTTATTTCTGACTCCTGAGTAAGATCGATCGATGCATGTTATGTAGTACGGAGGTCTTTATCAAGTCTACGGCGCGTAACGCTACGTCAGATTGCTTTGAGTCATCTGGGTACGGGTGCCTGAGGCTGTAAGGGATCGACGACGACGACATACATCCATCAGTGGCTCCTGATTCAAGTGAACAAAGTAACCTAAACCTCGGGGACCAGAATTGGTGACTGACAATAATTATGATGATGCTGTGGTCAAGAACCATGGTTGGCCGAGGTTGGATGTGGCGTTCAAGAAGGATTACTGTCCTCTGTCGAAGTGTAGGTACCTCGGGAGATCCTCCAAGTTCTGCGATAAGGATCAGGGGGAGATGCGGAGAGAGCAATCACTACGGAGTTACAGCTAGGAGATGAGGGGAGATCGCGCATCGCGGATAAGGACAATAATAAGTAGAGTTCTATTATGTAGAGTAGACTAGCGATCACTGCCGAGATAATAATAATCAGTCGATCAATCAGCAGTGCCTCATCCAGTCCTCGTGCTGCCTGCGGCGCATGCGGATGGTTGATAACGGCAGAGATAATGAGCGCCCCCTCTCCCTCAAGCCGAAGGACCCTGGCGTCATCCGGCTGGATACTGCTGTCTCGTCCTGTTTTCTTGTCAAAGGGTTCTTCTCTCTTTTAAGATTTATTGCCTAATTCCATCCATGGTTTCCATGGGTGCTGAGCGATTTGTTCCAGCTGCGGTTGCTATTTATTGATCGATGACTGGACGCCAACTCTGGTGACTCAGACAAAGACAGCCCTATCACCAAAGCACTCACTTTTGGATCGCGCCTTGGTCCCATTCTTATTCATCAGCCTTCCATCTCTTTCTCGTCTCGTCGCGTCTGTCTTAATAAACATTCCCAGACAACCTTCCCCTAGTCGACGGCAGGCACTGTCCGACCTCCTCTCTCCTATAGCCACTTCGCCCACGCCGCTTCCCTCTTCTCATCGTTGATTCTCCCCTCACCAACAACCACCATGGCATCTGAGACTCTCGTCAACAGTGATCTGCGACGGGCAGGTACCGAAGCAAAGAGACAGCACGATCGCAAGGCCAAATGGGCTTACGGTGGCCGATGTGCGCTTCCTCGGCAGAACCTGGTGCCCCCTTTCCTGCCAGTAACTCGTCCTGCGAAACCAGAGCACCGTCATATTCCGTGAGTTGTCCTTCCAGGCAAGAATGCTATAGACTCAAACACAGGCTGATCTTAACTTCAGCGTCATCAAGCGTTCGAATCAGCACAACCTCAACCAGCTCGCGCGTTATTCCAGGATTGCCCTGCGCCATGATATTCAGGAGATCCTCGACACCGGTACCTCTGACTCATCCAGTGGCGAGGAAGTCGAGGAGCCAGTTGCAGCCGAAAAGAGCCCAGAAGTCATTATCGTCGACGAAGAAAAACTCCTCTATCCATATGATGTATCTGGTCAGACAATCTTGTCCGATGCCGTGAACAAGGCTGTGGAGAAGTTCGAGACAAAGGAGACCGAGAAACTGGTCAAGACATATGAGATCATCTCACATGAGAGCGAGATGGGAACTGGCTATCTGGCTGACGATGATTTCGAGCTGGTGGACCATGTTCAGTTGTGACGAGCTCTCTTGTTCATTTCGTCCTCAACTTGTTTCTCTATTTTGGCGTTTGATCGCGCTGCTTGACATGGTGATGGGACCGGAGTTGGTTTAGAACTTCTTTATTCCTTTCGAATTGGTGGTTTTGGATTCAGGATGGTATGCTTCGAACCGGTTTGTGCTTGTCTCTCTGATTTCGTAGGTGGAATCAGTCCGATACTACCAGGTGGATTGTCCTTCCTGCGTCGTTGTGTTTCATTAGTCCTCCGTGATCATGACTCTTGTCATCAGACAGAATGTTATATACCCCGATAGTATCATATTAAACCCATAATTGTTCGCATTCAGAATCCTCTGTGATTGGTGTAGGAATAATCAAGTCGCTTCAAGTGATCTGTCGCAGTCAGAAGAGGATGTTGCAAGAAACAAGTTGGGCACCAACGAGTCCCGACCGACGGATTCCTTTTGCTGTGCGGGGCATCTATAACATGAGAAAGATCCAACCAAAAAAGAGGCTTACTGTTACTATTCGCTAAACGATGGTCCATGAAAATAGTAAGAAAGATGCAATAAATATCTGCATTATCTCTAGATCAAAGATACACTGCGACATACAGCCAGCTGTTTAGATGTGGAGTATACTATGGGGTAGCTCCTCGCTGCTATATTGCAGCATAATGCAGCCACAGTCCACATACCGTCACTAATGACTGAATCCCAAGGCTAGAGCATCATCATCCTGTATTTAGATAGAAAAACAGTGAGGCTCCTCTTGAAGTCAAGCCAAAGAACGTTGTCTCATGCAATCAAAACCACAACAATGGTTGATTCCAGAACGCGATTCTAGAAGCGGTAGGACTAACCTGTTATGGCAATACTCCACAGCCCCAAACAAAGAATGATAAAAGTCGTCGTCTGAGCGACGGCCAGACCAGACTATCAGCATATTTTCTAGAATTGATGTCTTCAACCGAGCGTCCTTGTCATCGTCAAACCTGCATCTCTCGTATCTGCAGTAGCACTCAACATGGAGAAACGATCAGCAGAGAGTCCGATGGACTTTGAGTGGCAGACAAGAGCACCCGGGGACGTCACATCACCCTTCTACCAGCTCAGCATGCAACATGACAATCAGAAAAAGCGTGCGACTTTCGCCATTCCCCTAAGTTACAGAAGCGTGGAGTATCTGACCTGAAGACAGGCCCTCACAGGATCTTCGACTCGCCTCAGAAGAAAGAAATCCCGGCTCTGCGAGCGCCGAACTCGCAACCTTTCCTCTTCTCCCAGAATCCGTCACTTCCATCTTCGAAGAACCCCAAGTCGCTTTTCGGGCAGTCAGCGTTCACAACACCACGCAAATTCGACTTGGACTTCTCCTCCGGAGCCGAGAACATGTCATCACCCGAGAACGCGGACAACGAGGATACGCCCGAGCAGCCCGCGAAAGCAGGACATCGGAACTCCCTATTTGGCATGTACGGCAAGTTTGCGCCTAGCCCTGGACGCGGCGAGATTCCCAGATTGAACCATTACTCCAACGCACTGGCGAGGCGGGTACAGAAGCGACGTCGGCGGGACAAGGTGCTTGGGCTACAACTACGAAAGGAGGAAAGTGATGATAACAGCGATCGGCCGAGCAGCAGTGAAGGGAAACTGGCTAGCAAGAAGAACTCAAAACAAAAAGGGACGCAGGAAGGAAAACAGACGTCGCGGTTATCGTCGTTTTCGGAATTTTTTGCCTTGCTCGAAGCGCATCCCAACGTCCCCAGCATTCTGTCATGGTGGGCTCAGTTGGTGGTGAACTTGTCATTGTTCTCGCTCGCGGTCTACGTGGTGTTCGGATTTGTTTCGGCCATCCGTGCTGAATTTGAGCAGGCTGCGGAGGAAGTGTCAGATACAATCTTGGCTGAGATGGCTGTTTGCGCGAAGAGCTACGTGGACAATAAATGCGCTGGCGGAGAGCGATTACCCGCATTAGAGACGGTATGCGAAAATTGGGAACGCTGCATGAACCGGGATCCGGCCAAGGTTGGACGGGCGAAGGTGTCGGCTCATACCATGGCTATCATCATCAACAGCTTCATTGATCCCATCAGCTGGAAAGCAATTGTACGTTGTGCACTCACTCTGTTCCCTTACCAATAATAAGCTGACCGATTATGCGCAGATGTTCTTCCTTGCTACTATTTCGACTGTCACCGTTGTCAGCAACTGGTCTTTTCGCTCCTTCAGAAACCGCTTCAACCAGCATGAGTATGCACCTCCGGCACCGACTTTCTCTCGACAACCATCCGGTCAACACCACCCGCCAATGCCTTCGTCACAGTATCCTTTTCAACATAATCCAGGTCTTGTCTACGAGGAACACGTTCAGGGACATATTCCCAACCTTGACA